CTTCCTCCCTCCCTCCCTCCCTCCTTCCCTCCCTCTCTCTCTCTCTCTTTCTTTCTTTCTTTCTTTCTTTTTCTGCCAGCATGTGTTCTTCCGAAGGACTGATATTTGTTATATATAACTTTTCCAGCCATTCCTTTGGAAGGTCCCTTCTCTGTGGCTTAGTTCAAACCTGGAAACCAAAGCAGGCCGAGATGGACTGCGCGAACGCGCGAGTTCTGACCCTAGTACCGCCCCGTAGTCCGCGGCGGGGACTTTGAAAGTGCGCGCGTCCCAAACGCAACGGCGGTTACGGCGAGTGTTGGCCTGAGCTGATCTTGCACTTCCCGGTGCAGCTGTCCAGAGGGATCTGAGCCAGCTCGGCAGTACTGACCTAGTGCTGCCGGGCACGGCGCGACCTTTGAAAACGCGATCGCCTGATCGCTGCAGCGGTTACTGCGAGTGTCGCCGGGAGCTGTGCCTGCACCTTCCGGACTAGGGCCCGGACAGCTTTGAGCTAGCTCATCACTTTCCCCTTTACACCCGAGGGTGTGACTGCGGTAAGGGAAAGCGTGGCGGACTCGAGGGAGGTCAGCGGACAGGGGTAAGGGGTGGGAGATCGCGGACCAGAAAGAGGGGGGATCGCTGACGGGAGGAAGACAGTGGCTAAGGGGATTTGGACAGCTGCCGAGGAGATCTACCGGGAAGGGCAGCTGACAGAGGATACACAGAGGCCTGGGGAGCATTGAGGGAGGACCCAGGGGAAGACAGCAGACAGAGGAGATTAGGGGGACCCATTGGAACCATCGCGCACCTCCGAGAATCTGACCCTGAGCTCCTGGATCGCCGGGAGTTTGGGGGTTCAGGGAAGAAATCACCCCCTTCTCCATGAAGGAGTTGGGGAAGCACCTCTCAGCTAATGCCTCTGCTTTTTTTAAGGTGAGGCCACAGTAGAGTAGAAAGGGTTAGGGATGTGGCCTGGGGCAGTGACTCATTGGGTACAGTCCGGGCCTAGTGTTATGCCCAGATCTCGGGGACCCCAAAAGACCACCACAGTGACCGAATCCCATATGTAAAAGTAAAGAGCCTTTATTTCAAGCTCGGAGCTTGGTCTCTCTGTCTGTCCAACGGAGCGAACCTGGGCTGGGTAGGTTTTTGTTTTTGTTTTTTAATCATAGCAGAGGTTGGGGTGAGGGCATTTCTAGGGTTCAGAACCCTGATTGGCTGACATTTGTCTAGGCGGTAGCTGTAAAAGGGAAATAGGTGTGTGCTAGGCTCAGGGACACCTGTGGATCTTATCTATTCTTATCTAATGGTTGGAATGTTTGGGATGTCAGGTACTTCCTGCTTAGATGCAGGGTGGTGTTAGTTTGTGGCTTTTCCTGGATGTGGGTGGTACCTGTGAGTAAGCCTGTCGCAGCGGTTGTGTCTGGGCCCCTAAGCCTGTCATGGCAGCTGTGTTGTCAAGCTGTTTTGGGCCCCCCACACCTAGCTTGCACGGAGCCCTGGGGTCCATTCTCAGGACGGAAAGAGTGCCTGTGGCTCCAGCCCTAGGGAGGAGAGACAGAAGAAAGGGCAGGAATGTGGCTGTGGGTAGAGTTTCATACACGGGAATATTGATATTTTTTTAAAAATGTATTTACATACGTATATATACATGAAAATACATAGTGAAACCCATAATCATGTAGAGTTAACATATGCTAATAAAAAGATACTTTTGAAAAGTCAAGCACTGTTAAACAATATTATAAAGTTATGGGGCCGGGCGGTGGTGGCGCACGCCTTTAATCCCAGCACTCGGGAGGCAGAGCCAGGCGGATCTCTGTGAGTTCGAGGCCAGCCT